CATCTAGTTGCACATTCGTTTTGCTTCCAGGATTTTCCTGCTCCAGCATGTACAGATAAGAAAATAACATCTTGTAGCCTTCTTCAGGAGTGCCTCGAACATCACTAACGTGTAGTTTTTTTCCTCTCAAGCCGTTGAGTATGACACATTCACACCAAGTCTACGGTGAACAACATCGACAATTGTTTTTGGAACTGGTGTGTCAAACTGACCTGGATAGTCTTCATGCAAAACCGATGCCACTAATCGTGGGTTGCCTCTCCTTCGAGAGCTGTTACTACTTTCAACAGCCCGTGAGCAGTTGTGCTTGTTCCAGTATTTTCGGACACTGAAAAAATCTGATCCACCTTTCCTCGCAGCATATATATACCAATTACAGCCTCCGCTCTTCTGAGTGCACCTTAGGATAAGTCGGCCAGTGTCAGACTTGTAAGTGCGGACACCAAAACAATGCTTGTGTGAAGCTCTGTCAACCAAATCTTGCAATGCCTCCTTTGATGGAAATTCTTGTTTTATTTCAAGACCAATACCATCTTCCCATTCTTCAGCCAACTTAATTTCTTCTACAGGACGTGAAAGCTCAAAATCCTCATCAAAGAAGTTTAACCCATCTTCCTTACTATCTGGTTCTGGACGCTTCTCGTTGCCATCCTCTTCTTTACCATCAGACTCAACCTCTTCGATATGTGGCTCTTCAATATGTGGCTCTGGCTCCTCAACATGTGGCTCTCTGAATATGGTAACGACACCATCACCTCTGTCATTTGGAACCGACTCCTCCTCGTAATTCAAACCAAATGAACTTTCTGCATCCGTTCTAGACAGGTGGTCGCTCCTATGATTTGCTCTGTTCGTGTTCTTGGTTACCTCCACATGCAAAATCCTCCTAAATCCCAGATTATCAATTGTCGTTAGATAAGCAAATAGGTCTTCATCATCAAAAATGTACATCTCTCTCGCAGGATTATTTGACATTGGAATGTAACTCAATTTCAGCAGCGGCTTAGCTCCATCTCTTGCAATCTTCCTGCATATCTTATCCACAACCGCCGAGTACGTAATCTCCTCCAAAGATGAGATCTTGAATGTTATAGCGCAAGTGGGATTCTTTGAAACCCATTTCAGTTCCTCTTCTGCATAATGACCTCCGTGGTCGAAAAATATGTTTGTGATGATCATGCTCATTGTTACCCTGCAAATATAATGAAAATAATCAATTCCCAATTACAAAACATCTCACAGTTGTACTACGTGTACCAGTTGAACTTTTACTACCATTACTTTTTAAAATGCAGTTGTACCTATATGAACCAGTTGAACCACTTAATCAACTAAGTCCCATTTGTACCACTCGTACCAGTTGTACCATCTCTGCAGGTTCCGATCTAGTTCAAATACAGTTCACTCGCTGCGATTCACAAGCTACATTACTCAAAAAGCTTAATCTACCGCCTATTCTATCAATGCATGTATACCCAATGCCTATACCAATGAACACCCAATCCATACCCAAACAAAAAATTAAAGCTAGAAACTCACTCAATGGACTTGAAGCTTCAGCAATGGTCAAACAAACGAAAGGGAACATCCACTGTCTACGGAGGTGAAAGAGGAGGCGGAATAGGTATAGATGAGCTCAGGTCGAAGAAGATTTCGATTTCAATTGAGTGAGCTCGAGCCTCGAGTGTGAAGAGGATTCCGACCAAAATCGCGATTGTGATTTCCAAAATTCATTTAATTTTTTCGTTTTTTAAAATTGTTTTTGATTTCATTTAATTTAATTTTATTGTTTTAGTTAAATCAGAAATGTGAAAGTAAATAATGGAAAAAGTAAAAGGTGAAAAAGAGAGAAGAAAGGAGAAAAACGTAATTGCACATGTCATTGTGGCATTAGATCATCTTATGGCACAGGAGATTTTTTCAAATGTAAAGAGTTATTAGATCATAAGATTAAGTTTCCCCAAAATTGTGGCAAAACAGCCGGGCGCTCCTAATTCCTAATTCTAAACCGCATTTCCACCCCTGGTTTAATTTAAATGTCTCTCAAACGCCTAAACCGAAACGAGTCTTCGTTTTCGAAACCGGACGCTTCTAATACAAATGACTCACAAACGAAAGATGCATGTGAGGGCAACGGGCAGAGGTGGAGACAGGCGAAACTAGTGGAGCTGAACAAACTGAGAACATATTCGGGCAACTGTTTAGATCTGCCCGTCCTTACCTACCATTGGCTGTCTTGTCCGTTCGCCACTTGTCCAAATTATATTGCCTTTCTTTTTACTGTTACACATCGTGTCGTTTTCCACTCCTACTCAATACTTATTCAGTTATTCTCATGGCGGAGAAAGACGCTCTCAAGTGTAGATGGCTATGCCTTGAAAAAACGACACGCCGTGTTCTTTGGGTTTAGCCGTTTAGGCCTCCTTTTGTCATTTCGTCTCCTTCTTCCTCAGAACCAAGAAAAAGTAGAGACCTTTAACGATTTTTTTCTGAGAGTTAAGATCCAGAGATTGAATCAGCTTAATTATTTATAAAAATCCAGGTAAAATTTTGTCTTTTTTTTTCCCACCAGATTTTGAAATTATAGCTTATGCTGTTCCCCTGTGTCTTTGTATTTCATCTCGTTTTCTGGAAAATGCTTCTTAGCTCTGTAAAGTCGAGATGTGGAATTAAAGATGACTCTTTTTGTTTTTATTTGCTGTTCTGTGTTTTGTTTAATTGTTGGTTTCTGATCGAAAATTTACGGAATCTCGTTTTGGTAAATTGAATTCCGGTTTTTCCAAACACTTAGCTTCCAAGAGAAATCGTGTCGGTGTACTGTATCTGACTTTTGTGCTTTGTTGTTGTTACAGTTTTGTTCCTTGGAGCTTTGAGACTTGTAACTTAAGGACAGTCTCATGAATCATGACTTCTTCAGTGCATGAGCTCTCTGGTTTTGTCTCTCTTTCTGATGTTCTTAGCTATCCTTTAATGTTTCTAACTTCCTTACTGATTCTTGGTGGTGTATTGATTGGCCAGATAACAATGAAAGCCAGAAGAAGCAAGAACTTCCAGCTTCCCAAACCCGACAACCGGTTCCTTCAGGACCAAGTGAATCTATAGATACAAACTCCGTCTACTCAGAGCCCATGGTAATTTATGTGGAGAGTGATCTTGGTTTCGGTTATTACATGTTTGGTTTAGTTTCTTGTGATCTTGCTTTTGTTTGATACTTAGCTCATTGAAGCAGGAAATTTTTGACCTTTTCTGGTCCCATGATTATTACATTTTCTGCAATTTAGAGTTAGTAGCTTTTAAAAAAAACAGGCTTAATATGCAGTGTAATGGTATTGATTCCAAGGAATGCTAAGCTTTTTAACCTTTACTAGTTGAGAATTTGAGATGCTATTGTTTGTTTTTGTTTGTGTGTGTGTGTGTGTTGGTATTGAAGGCGCATGGGCTTTACCCATATCAAGCTCATTACTACAGAAGCGTCTTTGCACATCAACAGTATCTTCCACATCCATATCCTGGGGTATGTAATATGACTCACTCTCACTGTCTTTGGATTTTGAACATTTTAAAAAGCTTTTGTTTTATTTTATAAAGGTTTCTTTTGTCAGGTCCAGTTGCAGTTGATGGGAATGCAGCAACAAGGGGTTCCGTTGCATTGTGATGCAGTCGAAGAGCCTGTTTTTGTTAACGCAAAGCAATACCACGGTATACTCAGGCGCAGGCAGTCCCGGGCTAAACTCGAGGCACGAAACAGAGCCATCAAGTCAAAGAAGGTGAGTGAGATCCCTGAGAGGGTGACAAAACCTGTTCATCTTTTTGTGTTGATTCCTTCTAAATATGTTCTCATTTCTTGTTTTTCAGCCATATATGCATGAATCTCGGCATTTGCATGCTATAAGACGGCCAAGAGGATGTAGCGGACGGTTTCTCAATGCCAAGAAGAAGAAGAATGGAGACCACAAGGAGGAGGATGAGGAGGAGGAGGAGGAGGAAGGAACCTCTGATGAGAACACTTCAGAAGCAAGTTCCTGCCTCAGGTCTGAGAAAGCAGCCATAGCTGCTTCTGCTCCTATTGGTAGATCTTGAGGAGAGTTTCATATACATAACAACAAGTTCAGTTTCTGTTCTGTGTGGATGTTTGTCCTATAGCATCATTCTGTTTAGTGTTTTTGGATTATTCGCATGTAGACTTGTGTATAGGTAATTGCTTGGAGAAGCTAGGGTGGTGTGCGTGTGACTTTGTTTTAGTGATTAGAAATAAAACTGAGGAAAGAAATGAAAAAAAAAAAACGTGATTGAAATTATTCTTGTACCAAAATTAAATGATCTTCTTTGCCTGTGAATAAATGTTTTGTGAACTAAACAATTCTTAGCTTTGTTTGCTATGATTTTTTTTTTTTTTAGATTAAAATTTCGTCTTCGAATGTTTGTTAATCCTTTAACTTAACCTGTTGTCATCATTTCAAACATTGAGTAACTCTGAAAAAGACTTGACACTGTAAAGCGAAAAAGTTTTTTTGTTCTTGGATTTCACACATGCATATTACATATTTCATATATGTCAGTATAGGGTACTTGTATAAATTACTAGGTTATCTAAGTTTCAGTCGCTTAACATAAATTTACCATTTCCTTAACAAATAAAATTTATAAATCATACTGAAGATTAAATATTTGTGTAGTTACTAGATATTTCTTAAATGTTTTAAACTCCAACTTGATTTGGTATCTATCTAGTGTTTTCTAATTAAAAATGATAATAATAATTTAGGTTGCATGAAACTCCATCCGACTGCATTTCCACGTTTCAGACATGGAAACTGTCAGAAACTTTTTAGAATTTCGTAGAAAAACGTCTCATAATTTTTTTCAAATTGCAAGTTCCGAAACGGAAACTGTCAGAAACTTTTTAGAATTTCATTTTTCTCGTCTCCTAATTTTTTTTTCAATTTTCAGTTTGAAAACGCGACGAAATCACCTGTTTCTATTTTCCAAACTTGATGGAAACTTATTTTTTTGTTTGTTTTGTAAACATGATAAATAAATAATTCAAAACCAATAAAAAAAGATTAAATGATTGAGTAAGTTAATGATTAATTTGATTTATTGGATGAGATTCAATTTGGAATTAAAATCTTTTTCTGGATAAACCATAATTGAAGAGCATTTTAGTTGATGGAATTTATAAAAATGATCTTTTTTTTTTGACATTGAACATTTTGATCTGTATCTTTAGTTAAATTATTTAATATTTATGTACTGGACTTGTGTTGATTTAAAAAGCTTACCTTTAATTAAAATTAGGAAAATGCTCTATAATGAGTTTTTATTTTGAAAAATACCCTTGTTTTTAGAGTTTTGAAAAGTACACTTTTGTATATAAATGATAAAATTATCCTAGTTTCAAGGTTCTAATTAATTTACCAAAATCAAAATTCAAGGGTATGAAAGGACGGGACGGGATGAAAGGGTCATAATGGGATGAGAAGGGACGGGAAAAAAATTTCACCTACCCCTAATTATATTTAGGGACCGGACAGAGACAAGACAAAACGGAAAAAAAAAATATAATAGGATACGATGGGACTCGATAGGGCGGACATGACAGAACGTGACAAGGAAAGAACGGGACAAGATGAGAAGGAATGAAATGGGACGGGATGGGACTATACGAGAATTTTTCTATCCTTAGTTATATTTACGGAACGGGACGAGAAGAAACGGAAGGAACATGATGAGACATAACAAAATGGAAAGGAACATGATAGGACGGGACGGGACAGACAGGACGGATGAGACGAGAAAGAATGGATATGATGAAAATGAACGAAATGGGATATAATGGACAAGACGGTACGTTAATTTGCCTAATCCTAATTATTTTTAATTAATATGTGTAATATTTTTGAAACAATAATAACAATAGAAATAAACTAAACTTGTGGAAAAAAAATTAACACAATAATATAAACTTGAAGTAAATATTACCATTTTCGGAACGTGCAAACAAGTCTCTATATAACTATTGTATTACCATTTTCTAAATCATTGAGCGAAAGTAAATATAGTCTAAAGTTCAAATATGTCTTTCTTTTACATCTCTCTCTCTATATATAACTCTATTTTTACTTTTTAGTGATGACAACGCCAGACCTAAAGCAACTTGCCAAACGCCTAAATAGCTTCCTTTAGAAGTGTTAAAGTAGATATTCGATTCTCTCATATATTGTAATGTAATATTCAGGCATTTGCATATTAATATGGGCTCATAAGTGAACCTCAAAAAAACAAAAAATCACATTACAATAAAAACTAAAAATGTACATTGATCCAGTTAAGGTTTTACACTTTAACTAAAAGGTAGGTCTACATCAAATCAAAACATACAATGTATTTGCTACAAAACATTAATTTGCATATTGGACTATAATGTTAAACATGGACAAGTTGTAATTTTTTCTAAGAATATGTCTGAATTAAGTCAAAGGAGAAAACAAATGCTGACTTTAGTATTTCCAATTTGCTTTGAATTTCACCAAATAGTTATAACAGGTAACAATATAGCAATTTAGTATGTTGACTAAAATAAAATTTTGATAGACCAATTTTTTTTTTTCTTTTGACCAATATATTTTTTTTCACAAAATCAACCCTCAAGTTTACCCCTTACTATACATGAATATAAATAGGGGAGGTCTCTCCACCATGAATAATACTCAACAATAATTATAAAATGAATAAAAGAGAACATATGCTTTCCATCATTGATTTTGTTTCAGTACTATTCTTGATTGTAGCGGCTCATGCTGCTAAACCTCGTGGAGGTAGCGGGTTCGATGAAAACAATGTGGTTACGTGGGGAAATGTCTTGAAACTCAAACAAGGGAGAGAAGTTCAGCTCACCATGGATAGAGCTCAAGGTTCATTGATTTCTTCCTTTTATTATGCGATATATGTCGCCAAAACTCAAATTTGATATTGTGCTTGTACGTTATTGTAGCAAGCCCGGTCGTAGGATAGACAGACTATGTCATGGCCTAGGGTCGCTAATTGTTTGAAATCATTTTCATAAGCCACATGTATTATTAAGGTTAATATAGTTTGTAGGCTACAAAGTTTTAAATTTATGGTTTTAAGAGCATCTCCATTGGTGAGATTTCTCTAGGAGTTTTCACCAATAAAAAATCATTTTTTTTCTTTTTTTTGTGTTTAGAATTTAATCACATATTATGTTCCCCATTGGTAAGATACTCATTGGGGTTCTCATTTTATTTTTATTTTTTTTATAATTTAATTAAAAATTTAACATATAAATTTTAATCTTAATTTATAAATTCTTTTATTAATAATTCGAAAATACCAAATTATAACTCTTTAATTAAAATATTTGTACCAAATTATAAAACTAAAGTTAAATAACAATATATAAACTCTGTAATTAACTTTTAGATTATGTATTTGATTTCTTGAGAAAACATTTGAATCGATAATAAGATGACATGTGTTTTAGAAGATTTTTTTTATAAAAACAAATTGAGATATTCCTTGAAATAAAATATCATGAATGGGGGATGCTCTAATATCTTTATACAATTATTTTCCAAATATGAAAAAGTGATTTCTCACAAGATAAATAAGTTTTTTTTGGTACTGCAAAATCTGTTGTTTATTAAAGAGTTGCATTTTATTTTCTTGATTCCGGCCACGGTATCTATTGAACCGAGGCTACGTTGGAACTTGTAAAAGTTTGAGACAACCTATTTATATTACAAACAGGTTCTGCCTTTGAGTCTAAACACAACTACGGATCAGGATTCTTCCAAACAAGAATCAAATTGCCTCTAAAAGATACTGCCGGCGTTGTCACAGCTTTTTACGTACGTTTACATGTTATCTAGTCATTTCATCTCAAATTTTCTCTTTATTGCACTAAAATGAATCTTCAACATTGTGGATTTGTTTCTTTATACATTTGTGTATTGTTTATAGTTGACTTCTAAGGGAAACTCCCACGACGAGCTTGACTTTGAGTTCTTGGGTAATAGAGGAGGAAAACCAATAGCACTTCAAACCAATGTGTTTGCCAATGGCCGAGGGAATAGAGAACAAAAGTATAATCTTTGGTTCGACCCCACCGCAGATTTTCACACTTATGGGATCCTCTGGAATCAATATCAAATTGTGTATGTTTTTTCGCTCTTTTCTCTTCATGCATTTATTTATTTATAAATATTATTACAGAGTCATCTAATTTGTATAAAAGCAGATTGAATCAAAGGAACTGAATTTTCAAAAAAAAAAAAGCAATTTGTATAAAAATACAACTGAATTTTCAAAAAAAAAAAAAAATCATTTACATTTCAGACAAAAGTCACAAAATCATTATAATTTGATAATATTTTTTTCTTTCTCTCTCGATAATAGGTTTTATGTGGACAAAATACCAATAAGGATATTCAAAAATAACAAAAGATATGGAGTGGAATATCCATCAAAGCCAATGAAAGTGGTGGCTAGTCTGTGGAATGGCGAAGAATGGGCAACAAGCGGTGGTAAGGACAAGATTGATTGGTCTTATGCTCCTTTTAAAGCCAATTTCCAAGGATTTTCCGATTCGGGTTGTCACGCGGATGGGATCATTAATGCGAAACTTTGTGCTTCACCAACATACTCGTGGAATAACAAGAAGTATAGTAGGTTAAGTGCAAATGAACAGAAGGCCCTCAAGAATGTGAGAGCAAAGTACATGAACTACGATTATTGTTCTGATCGGAATAGATACCCTATTCCTCCAAATGAATGTCGATGGAATCAATGATCAGTATCTATAAAAAAAAATACAAAATCTATACATCCTTCAAGTTTTTTCCAATCTATTGTTTAATTTGATAAATTATTATTCATTTGAGTCTCGTAACTTAATTTGAAATAGTAATCCATTATATGACCAATCAATTTTGAACCCCAATGATTCTTTTCCATCTTGTAACCAAAAGGGTTAACTCCTCTGTGTTTTTTCTTAGCTGCCAAACATGAGTAACAAGCTTTAACAAATTCCACATTTTTTTTGTGAATAAATCATATATATATTTGGAAGTTTCACATTTTCTCATTAAGAAATATTAATTTAAGTGAAGTTGGAAATGTTTACATATATGAGATTTTAGTATTTTAGTAAGAGCATCCTCAGTATCTTATAAAGGTTCTCGAACAATAATTAAATAAGAAATACAGAGTCACAGGGGCGATTAGGGTTTCGACCGTAACTCAAGATGCAACGATGACATATGTAGGAGAAAAGAGGCGGCCTCCGGGAGAGCCGCCGGATGGTGGTGTTTTGTGGGCAGCGAAGGTGGCTGGGTATAATAGTGGTGGCCTGTTGAGATTGAAGGATGTTTTGGACGACGCATTTGTGAGGGCAAGGGTGAATTTGGAGTTTCGGGATGGTGATCGATAGGATTGAGCTGGTGATTACCATTGGTACTGATTACCATTAACTCTACCACGGACGATATGGTAGATTTCTTATTGACCGGTAGATATATTTCATTACACAGTAGATTTGAATGAAAACGATAGATTTATTTCATATTTCATAGATTTATTAAGTGTACCGTAGACTTATTGTTTGCCCTAAAATATATAGTTGTGATAGAGTTATTAGTCTACGGTAGAGTTATTAAACACATAGTTTTTATATTTTTTGGTAGAGTTGTTTAGACGTGGTAGAGTTTCGCTACGGGTGGCAGATTTATTTAGCGCTCGGTAGAGTTATTAGTCGATTGTTGTAGATTTATTTTTCTTACTGGTAGAGTTTTAATAATCCTGTAGATTTATTAGATGTGACGATAGACATCTAGTGCTGGTAGATTTGTACGTAATTATGGTAGATATATGCCTTGTGGTAGATATATTTTACTTGATGGTAGATTAGATGAAACGCGGTAGATTTACTTGTTATAGTGGTAGAGTAAGTAAGATGTTGATACTTGAAAAACCGTTTTTCAAGTATTGCAATAACGAACAATTGATGGTAGATTTACGTTCATATGGTAGAGTTATAGTGGAAAAGGTAGACTTATTATAGAAATTGAAAAACGGATTCCGGATTTAGGGTTTAGGGATTTGATGTGAAATGCCATAATACAGTTGAGTGTAATAGCATTTGGGTGTTGTAATGCAGTAACTATTTAACAGTAAAGATTACAATTTTGACTTAAAAGTTTGGGGTTTAGTATTGAGAACCCTTTAGTATTTGATAGAGTTTAGGGTTTACGGTTGAGGGTTTGCAAAGCAAATATGCTAGAGTACTCCAACATAAGGCATATTTGCAACATTTCAAAAACATCAAAACTCCAAATGTGTTACTGTTTAACATACACCTGAGGTTTAGTGTTTGAAGTTTGAACACACATTCGAACTTGCATACCCTAAAGTGGCAGAAGCAGTTTATATTTGCTGTTTACGGTTTATGCTTTAGGGTTTGCAAAGCAAACCTGTTACAATACTCTAATGATATTCAATACACTTAGGGTTTAGACATTCAATATGCGTTTAGGGTTTTGGGTTTAGAGGATTTTTTAGGGTAAAAAAAACGAATGACTTGAAAAGCACATAAAATGAAGACATTACACATAAACGAGTTCAAAAGTACATAACAGTAGAATATCTTTGTGTGTGTGTGATGAAGACATAACACATCTACTTCATCAAACACATTTAAACACACATAATTCATCTTACACTTCAAACATAGCATAAAAACCACTTAGTTGTAGACATAAAAGCGAGATAGTTGTCTACTTAGACACCACAGTTTTTTTAACTTCGTCCTTGCACGGCTGACACCCGCAGCTTAGGGACAGGACCGAGTCCCACAGCTGTCTAACCTCGGTATTGCTTTTCCTGTTGAGCAGTGAGGTCATGAATCTGGTTTGCCTGCTCTGCATTCTCCTCCTTGAGCTTCGCAACCTCCTCTCCAACCTCCCTTGTAGCCTTCCTTTTAGCAATGTCAAGCTCCCCATTAAGTTGACGAATCTTCGTGGTCTGCGCTTCATTTGAATCCCTTAGCCTAAGAACCTCCTCTTCAATAGCCAGATCCCACCTCTTCCGAACGTGAAGGACGCTGTCGTACTACACGATTCACCACATGTCATCAATTCGAATACTATGTAATGTAATGTTTTAAAACAAACAAACAATGTGCAATCATACCTTGTACTGCTCGCAGTGTAGTATCTTGTCCCGTCAACAACTTCTTGGATCAAACCCTCACCGCAAGGACACCATGTCATAATGCCGTAGTTACCATCGGCCCAAAAACCAAGCATCTGGATGTGGTCCTTCGTTTTCTTCCATTCATAGACGTTAGGATCGTTGGGGTCCATGGGATCTGCAAAACCACTAACTAGGGGTTAAATCTACCATTAAATCTACTGCCAATGCAAATAAATCTACTGTCATTGCAAATAAATGCAATAAATCTACTGCCAAACTATCTACCGTGATATGCGTTACTCTACAGCCATTCGAACAAAGTCTACTAGTGCAAGTCTACCATTACTAAATAAACATGTAAACTAATCACCATCAAACGAAATTCACGACAATCGTATCTACAACGGGAGGAGCAGAAGATATCTCCTCCTTAGGCGCAATCAGGTAATTGTAGTTTGCAAAACAAAAATTAGGGTTTAATGGATGAGAGAGACGACTATGAATCCCGAAATCTATGAAACATGCTTAAATAATTGACATATGCGAACTCATATAACAAGATTCAACATATATATGTTTGATCTGACCTTGAACCAATCGCGATTTGAAGAAACTTGTAATCGCCTCTGAACTGTCTCTGCCGTCGAAGAAAGAGGTGCACGCTTGTTGAAGATGAGTGATTTAGGGTTAAAAAGGTCCCTGTTTATACCGGTTTATGTCAATTTAAAGTTTATTGCCCAGTTTATAGCTATACCTAGGTACACATTCGTAGATTTATTTTACTGCTATATGAGGTCGTAGACTTATTTATGGGTGAAAGTTTCCTTTGAAAGGCGCTTTCGCCCCCAACTCGGGGATATTTTCAAGAAACCCACTCACCTTTATCAACAATTAGGGTTGCCGTCTTCCATGGAAATTCTCTGTAAGATCTATATTCATAGGAGAGATATCATCAACAAATCAATATCTACAGACAAAACAGTGCATATTCAATGGAGCAGGTGGTACTCGTTTGTGGGTCATGGAAAGAAAAACAAAATTGATGGTTTTTCATTTCAGACAAGTCTACAAGATCTTCACGTGTTGGGGCTGATCTTCGAACCTCATTCGCCGATTTCCATCGCATGGTGCTCGAAGAGTTTGGAGTCGATCAGCAGATCTACCAGTTAAAATTGAGCTACATGGTCACCAAAAGCACGCTGCTACACCTCCTGTGATAGTTACGAATTCAAAATAATTGTGATCGTTTCTCAAGGTTTTTGCAAACCATACGGCCAAATTTTTTATTATTCTTCGGTCATAGTTGTTTAGGCGTCATCAGTTGGACGTAGAACTGTACCAACCTTAAGGCTGTCGTCCAATGGATTGTGTCTGCAGTTATAAAAGTCAACTGCGATTACGATTCAATGTACTTTTTAAAACAAAAGAGAAAAGCGTCTTAGAGAGTAACTTACACGTCTGTCCGAACGAACTCCACTAACGCATCCAATTTTGTGCCATCAACCTTCTCATAAGGATTATACACCGCAGATGAAGGTTTCACACTAACGATAAGCTACCGAACCGCTGAGCTTCCAATGTAAGGGTCCTTTTGATTGGGTGCCAAAGACATGTTGCATGGAAGGTTCACATCGAATTCATCACAACTGTTCCCATAGAAGTCATCTCTATTGATAAAATGGAGAAGCTTAACTAGAGGGCTGAGTTCTGGGTCGTCGGAATCGGTATCATCCCGGAGATGTGGGATCACAAATTCTGTCTTTTGTTCGGCTTCTCCTTCTCCATCTTCTTTTCGTTCTTTCCGTTTGCCCTTTACTTCTTCTTTGGATCAGCTGGTTCTTCCTTCACCGTCTTCATTTTATCCGCAGTAATTCCTTTAACATTCGGGTTTCTGATGGTTCTTATGTGTGTAACCCCTGTCTGAGATGTTGCCTCATCTTGAAGTAACCAAGACTGCGAGAAATTTAAGAACTGTAACACTTATAACTGAAGCAATAAGTCTACCACAATAAGTGTATCATAGTAAGTCTACCACAATAAGTCTACCACAATGACACATTAAGATTACTACGTCATATCTAAAGTCATATCACTACGTCAACAAGTCTACCACTTCTTTATCGGATCCTTCTAAGTTCTCTACAAGCTTTCTAAATGTTAAGTCTATAATTACTATAATACGTTCCTATCATTATAATCTAACAATATATATACCATCACTATAGGTGATTGTTGTCTATTAATGGTACAATGAACCACCAGCCACCAGAAAGCACACTATTACACAGACCATAAGTTTGAAATTACACCGTTTATAACATCCAAATCAACCACTCTCACGAAAGAGAGCCCTACATACCGGATCCGGACTCACGTCTTCTCCAGTTTTGCCTTCAACACCACCCCCCCGGCATTGGAGTTTACATCTGTCAACGGCTCTGTTGGACCACCTTGTCTAGACACCTCTATCGTAAAGACCCTTGCATCTATCGCATTAACTATTTTCAGCATTACGGCTAGCTCAATATGCCTACTTGCTTCATCTTCCCGTCTCTTTGATGCTGTCTTTCTGTCAACTTCCTCTTGCAAACTCGAATAGCATCAACATCAGCAGACATGGAACATTTCGTTGCATCGTTGTTTTTCCTTCCTTCGTGTTGCCTTCTCTCTTGGCTCTTCAGTCGTCGTACTATCCTTCTTGCTCGCCGCATCAGATGTCTTCTTTGTTCTTTGCTCTTCCTTTCTCTTTGTTCTCAGCTCTTCCTCGTGCCCGAGAGGTTTCTTCGACGACTTTCGTCCAGGCTTGTCAACAAAATCGTCGTCGCTTTCATCGGCTTTGCTCTTTCCCTTTTTTCTGGGACCGTCCTCGCTTTCACCCGCTTTGCTCTTCCTCTTCTTCTTCGCAGCAGCCTCAGTTTCCCAAAACGATTCATCCAAACAGCCGTCAAGGATATCGCGAATCATATTATCAAGCTTCTTGTCGCAATCAGGATTTTCACCAGCCCATTGTGGATATATCTCAGCAGGAGGCACATCAACTAAGTGTCTAACGCGAGCCTGCATCCACAAAGCAAATATGATACCAATCAGATTCAGTTAAACAAGGTTATAGGAATAAATCTACCGTAACAATTTTAAATGAGGACATACCTTCTTGTCGACGCTATTCTGTTTATCCTCCTCCATAAGGGCCTCCAAATTGTACCTTGTACGAGATGATTGCCACCGTAGTAGAGGGATTGGACCATCACGTCTCCTCCCAAATCTTTCTCCGATAATTTCAACAGATTCATATCCCCATATCAGAAGCGGATGCACAAATCCAGGGATTGTGTAGGAAGGCACGTCAAATTTTGCTATTTTTATCGATTGCACTAGCTTCTGAAATGCAACTCTACCCCATGGATACCTCTCAAACGCCTCTTCATCCAAAACTCTTTTTGCAGCCACAAAAGGTATTCTACATGTTCGAGCAAGGCCATATACTCCAACGTGCAGCACAAACAACAAAGCAAGCTTCCTCTTCTGCTGATAATTCCACATACTGCATGTTTCAAACGCCTTGACCAACTCATCCCAGCTAGGACCTTCCCCTGATTTGATGCCCGCTAATTCCCAAAACTCAGTGTGGTTAACTTTCAATTCTCCTTCATCTTCAAACGGGTCACAGTTTAGCCTCGTAATATCACGAAACTCATGGAGGCTAAACCTTATGGGTCGGCCCCCAATTAAAGACCATATCTCATAATTGCGCTCAATTGCCAACTGATTTCTTAGAAGGTTATGGCATGTCTTCGCACACCATACGTAGCTCAATGATGCAAGCTTCAGAATCACTCCCACTTGCGAATTATTCATCACGTCGTTGTAAATGGTGTCCCCAACGGCGGAGTTGAGCTCTCCAAAACCACTGAAGACACAATTATGATGCATACTTCGGTTTTTCTCAGGAGATTTCGGACCGGATACAATCTCGGTGGATATTCTTTTCTCGTCTTTTTTCCAGATGCCATTCTGCACAAATATGCAATTGCATTAAGCTCCTACGAAGATGAACAAATTACCAACAACTAAACGCTACTATTAACAAACAAGTCTACCACATACAAGTCTACCACTACTACATACAAGTCTACCACAACTACGTACAAGTCTACCACAACACATCGAAAAATTAATCCCAATATAAAGTCTACCATCACTTTTACATCTATCCCTAACAAATCTACCATTACGTTTAACAACTCTAATGATTATCAATTACGAAACCCTATACCCTAAACCGCAATCAACAAAACCGCAAAATCAACAACCTCAAACAACCCTACCATCTCGAATTTCAAAATTAGGGTTCTAGATTGCGAAATTTCTGGTTTATATCTCTCATTTACAGAGGCGAAGTCGAGAGTTTTGATTTTTGGAAAGAGAAGCCTCTCGGAAATTGGGTTTCTAAGTTTCGCAGTGTTAGAAATTGATACCTTCGAAACGCAGCTCTCGTCGAAACGCCGCCGCTGCTCTTCGTCGAAACGCCGCTGCCGCTGCTCTCGTCGAAACGGCCGCTGAACAGATGGAACGGAGGAAGAAGAAGAATTTGCAATCGCCGATGTTTAGAGGCGATTTTAGGGTTAATGAATTTTTGGTGTTTTTTTCGAAGAAATGTAAAAGTGATTTCTTTTCACTATTTCTGAAGAAATGTAAAAAGTGAGAAAAAGCAATTTCTTTTCACTTTTTTTAAACGTAATGGCAAAGTAGTAATAAAAACGAAAATGAAACAAGAAAATTTTTCTCCACAATGGTACAGCCGTAAATAACTCTAACCCTCCAGAATAAATGGACTTTTCACCCTTTTTTTAGATTCAATCTCTCAAAACATCATTCTAGTCATTACACTAGAATAAGAGGTTGTTATAGTCATTATCTCTTTTTTATATAATAAAAGTGGGAGACACTGTCTCCCGTTTCACGACAAAAATAAATAAAAATAAATAAAAATAAATAAGAAATACATATGTATTACTAATATGCATTAGAGAGTGTCTACTTAGGATTCTAAAATTGAATTTGATTGGTCCATGTCATTATTATTTTTTTCATTGAATAATTAATTTCCTAATTTTCTTTTTCTTTTATTAGCAAATTTTTCCTTTTTTAATATTCATATATTTTCTTTTATTCAACATCAGTATTATTACTTTAACATATTAATTTTAGTAAATTTCCTATTTTACAAATATTTTATTAATTAGATTTTAATAATTTTAATAATTTTAATTTTTATATAAATTAACTAATAAGAAATGGCATTAAATTTTTCTTTTATATTAGTGAAAAATTGATTAAGCAGCCCATACATAATATTACTGCACATTCAACCATTTATCCTACAATATATTAAAGATCATGCATTTTTGCTGATGTGGCAAGCTCTCAGTTTTTTGGACATATTTTTGAATTATTTAATTAAATTAATAAACATGTGGGTCGAGATACGGATAAAAGCGCGGATCCTTTTAACTTTGACGGATAGTTATTAAATCGGAATACTGAGCTTTATTATCATTCCGAATTTGGGCCTTTTTTGCTGGGATTTCTCTTACCAACGTGTTTCTGTTCGGGGTTTCCTTTTCCTTTCTCACCAAAACATGATTGTATTCTTCTTCATCAAGTTCTTCGTTTTTGGAAACATATAATTAATGCTCATAATAAAGCTTACATAATATTTCATAACATTTCATTCCGAATAATACTTACTTTCTTTTAACAGGATATTGCATTGTTAACATTCTAGCCGAATATAATATTTCTAAATACAGTAAACCTCTATAAAACAATAATGTTGGGACTTTGAAATTTTATTATCTTATAGAGTTATTATTTTATCGATAAAACAATAATTATTATTTTATAGAAATATTCTATCAAAAACAAGAAACTTTATAGAAATATATTTTTTCATTTTTTATTCAAATTTTCCTTATACTTTGTTATTTACATATTTCATGCTCAGAAGTTCAAAATCTATAAGAAATTATGTCTACTGTTCTTAATGGTGAAGATGAAGTTGAAGATGATGAGGAAGGACATGTGCAAGTAGTTAAGCAATTGTGGCTTCGAGAACTCTTCACAACTTTTGGCTGCATGTTGATGCAATAAGAAAAATTCGAGATGAGCTCCAACGGGAATCCAACTTTCAGAAAAGACAAACTACATTGGAGTCATATTTTACTAAATTGTCTTAGATATATATGCTTAGTTTTATAATTATTATCTTAGCTTATTGTTGGGACTATATTTTTACATAGGAGTTTCAAAAATATTATTGTCTTATCATCTTATCGCATTATGCTATTTTTTACATTGGCCCGAGTTGGGACCGGAGAAAATTATTATCTTATAGTGTTTATTGTTTTATCGAGTATTGTTTTATAGAGGTTCTACTGTATGATGAAAACCTTCTTCATCAAGTAAATTACATGTTTCCAAAACTGGTGTCAATATATTTTATTCATAATCTATCATTTAATGAGATAGATATTCCGTGGGTGGCTTAACCTAAACATAGAAGCATCATCCTCATAATATATTTAAACAGAGCCTTCTCATGTTCTATTCTCATCATCCTTCTTCGATGATCTTTCTAAATTGCATTGATTTCTGTTTATACGTTTTAATGTGTTGTTATTGTACTTTTCATATGTTTTAATATGTTTATCCGTTTTAATTTGTTTATACAGTACTCTCAATCTCTCCTGCAGTCTCCATGGTTAATTTCAATAGAAGAAGTCGTCGGCGCTGGAAATGAAGCAAAACTCAGCAACCGAATATTACGAATCAATGTATCTTATTATTCAAGGAGATTATAGAGTCTTATTTATACAGAGAGTTAGAAGGATCTAGACAAAGGTAATTACAGAAGGTTCCTTAATCAGAGATTGCTAATATTACGCCATAGGAGATAATGGAAACTGTATCATTGACTGTATCTCTAACATGTCCCCTCAAGATGGAGGGGCTGAGGTCACTCAAATCTTGTCTTGGAGATGCAGAAAATGAGCTCGTGGGAGTGGTTTGGTGAGAGCATCGGCAAGTTGATCTTTGGTATTGACATGAGCCACACGCAATGCACCATCTTGGATGTGACCACGGACAAAATGATAATCAAGAGCAATGTGTTTCATCCTAGAGTGAAAGACAGGATTTGCACAGAGAAACGTTGCACCAACATTATCACAGAAGAGAATCGGAGGTGTAGAGAGATTGATACCAAGTTCTGTGAGAATGTTGCAAATCCACCGGAGTTCTGCAGCAGTGTTGGCAACGGCCCTATACTCTGCTTCCGTGGAAGAGCGGGAAACACCTTTCTGCTTCTTGGCCAACCAGGAGATGGGATGGTTGCCAAGATAAACAATGTAAGCGTTTGTGGAGGCATAGTCATGCGAGTCTCCTCCCCAGTCAACATCAGAGTAAGCACGCAGGGAAAGGTTGTTCGTGGAGGAGAAGAAAATCCCATGTGCAGGTGTACCAGCTAAGTAGCGGAGAATCCTTTTCGTTGCTTGCCAATGTGCATCAGTGGGACAGTGCATGTATTGAGACAATCTGTTCACAGCAAAAGCAATGTCAAGACGAGTAAATTGCAAGTACTGTAAGCTTCCAACAAGCTGGCGATATGGTGTCGGATCCGAGAGAGGCTTGTCGGTGGTGAGAGTGAGCTTTGGCGAGGACGCCATGGGTGTAGTAACTGGTTTAGCGTTGGTCATGTTGTGGCGATGTAGGAGATCGATGATGTATTTCCGCTGGGAAAGGTGAAGTCCGGCTGATGTTCGGTGTACTTCTAACCCCAGAAAATAGTTGAGATCCTCCGGGTTTTTGATCGAGAAACGGTCCGCCAAGAGCTTGAGGATTCGAGTGATTCCATCTTTAGTGTCTCCTGTGACTAAGATGTCGTCCACATAGACCAAAATATAGATGAGATGAGTACCACTTTTGAGGATAAAGAGGGATGAGTCGGCAAGGGAGTTGATGAAGCCAAGACTAAGGAGAAACGTGCTCAGCTCCGTGTACCATGCTCGTGGAGCTTGTTTGAGACCATACACGGCTTTGTTCAGTCGACAGACGTAGGAAGGATGATCCGCATCAACGAAGCGAGGAGGTTGCTCCATATAGACCTCCTCATTCAAAGTGCCTTGCAAGAAGGCATTGTTGACATCCAATGTCGAGAACTGTCCGAATCGTCGTAGCTTTGATAACGGGGCTGAAGGTCTCGTTGTAGTCTTGACCAGGCTGCTGATTGTAGCCCTTCGCCACAAGTCGGGCTTTGCATCTATTGTGTTCACCTGAAGAAAAAAACTTGTTAGTGTAGATCTATCGACATCTGACAACATTAAAGTGAGATTGACGAGGGACAAGATCAAAGGTTCGATTCACCGCGAATGCATCAATTTCTGTAGACATAGCCCCACGCCATCGTTTGTCTTGAAGAGCCTGAGCCAGGGTTCGTGGTTCGGCCGGAACAGAACCAGATAAGGCGACGGAGTAGTTGTATTTGGGATTCGGTTTGGTAATGTTGTTCTTGTGGCGAGTCGTCATCTGATGGAGGTTGTCAGGTGGCGGATTCGCCGGCGGAGGTACCGGAGGCGGATTCGCCGGCGGAGGTACCGGAGGCGGTGGTACGGGAGGTGAATCGGTAGAGGGAGTCGAGGAAGAAGAGTTAGACGGCGAGATCGTGTCGGCGGAGAGAGAGGATTGAGACGGCGGGACTGTGTCAGTCGAGGAAGACACATTCGTTGGGCTCGTGAAAGACGAAGCAGGAGAATGGGCCATAGTATTGCTTGGGCCTGGAGCTAATGACGAATGGGCCGGATTCAAATGGGCTTCAGAGAGATGTGGAGGAGCAGGGCTTGTGGCCGACCCAGACGCAGAGACAGATGGGAGAGAGATAGGCTCAGGTGAGGAAGGGTCGTCGGGAGAAGAAGGAGACGATGGAGTCGGGGATGTCACCGGAGCGGGACCACCGGACGTGGGTGTTGGTTCCGGTGAAATCGGTGGATCCGGAGACGGTGGAGTCGGTGGGAGAGCGATGTGAGAGAATGGCGGAGTGACCGGCGACGATTCAATCGATGAGGATGGAGTATGTGAAGGCGGTGATGATTTCGCAAATGGAAAGACAGTTTCATCAAATCGAACATGGCGGGAGATGTAGATGCGACCGGTTGCGGGTTGTAAGTAGAGACAGGCACTCTGTGTTTGAGAATAGCCAAGAAAGACGCAAGGCGTGGAACGATCCTCGAGTTTATTGCTTGTGTACGGACGGAGCCATGGAAAGCAAAGGCATCCATAAACCTGAAGTTTCGAGTAGTTTGGGGCCACACCAAACAAGCGTTGAAAGGGAGAGTCCATCTGAAGGAGTGATGTCGGCTGACGATTGATGAGGTACACGGCAGTGGAAAATGCATAAGACCAATAGGTCTTGGGCATGGCAGAATGAGTGAGCAACGTGAGGCCAGTCTCGACAATGTGGCGGTGTTTGCGTTCTGAAATCCCGTTATGCTCCTGTGTGTGCGGAGGGGAAGTGAAGTGGGAGATGCCGGAGTTGGTGAGGATGGAGCGGAGAGCCACAAATTCACCGCCATTGTCAGAGTACAAGGTTCCAATTTTGGTGTTGAAACGATTCTCCACGAGTGCTTTGAAGGCAGTGAAGGTCTCCTTTACCTGCGATTTCAACCTGAAAGGATAAAACCAGGTATAACGGGTGAAGTGGTCAACAAAAACAAGGTAATATTTGAAATTATCAATAGATATGACAAGAGAGCTCCACACATCAGTAAACACATATTCTAATGGTTGAGAGGAAGAAATTGTGGTTTGATAAAAAGGGAGTTTATGAGATTTATTGATGGCACAGTCTGAACACAACGAAGTGTGAGTTACAGACGGAGTACAAGATAAAGAAAAACGTGAAACAATGTTTTTGAGAATATGGAATGAAGGATGACCGAGGCGATGATGCCAATCGGTGGTGGAAGTTTTTGATCTGGCGGAAGCAAAGAAGGATTGTAGAGTGGCAGGAGCTCATCCTTGGTATTGCCTTGAAGTAATGGGATTCCCGAGTTCAGATCCTTCACCTGGAAGTGAGCAGGAAAGAATTCAACAGAGACTTTGTTAGAGTTACATAAACGAAACACAGAAATCAGATTCTTTTTAATATGAGGATCACAAAGAACTTGAGTAAGTGAGAGAGGTCGAGAGGAGGAAGGGAGAGAGAGGGAACCAGTGTGGGAGATCGAGAGTCCAGAACCATCACCAATTAGGACTGCATCGTTCCCACTGTAAGGTTGATTGTGAGAGAGGTTGTGAAGGTCGCTAGTCATATGGTGAGTAGCACCAGTGTCCATGAGCCAGGCGGCGGAGGGATGTGGTGAAGCGGTGGCAACATTGGCCTGAGGTTGCCATGGACGTTGTGGTGTAGGGAGAAGGCCACTGGCTGGAGCTTGTTGTTGTGGTAGTTGTGGACAACGTCTTGCGCTGTGACCAAAGACGCCACACAGCTGGCACTTCCCTTGATAGCCACGCGTGGAGTTGTTGGTGTCTTGCCGAGATTGTTGACGCTAGTAATTGTGGATGTTCTGCTGCCACTGCGAGTTGGGACGAGGTGAGTTTCGTGGCTGGAAACGACGAGTGGGACCAGCAGCAACATTGGCAGTGATAGGTGCCGGAAATGAGGGAGCTTGAGACAAGATTTTGGCTTCCTTGGTGAGAAGCTTCTCATGGACCTCGGTGATCGAAGGAGAGAGGTCGCGGCCTTCAATTTGCTCAACAACGGACTTGTATTCTTCTGGTAGTCCCTCAAGGATAAACTCAATTTGATCCTCATGCTCCACAGGTTTGCCAAGAAGAGACAGTTGATCAAATCGAGTTTGTAAGCCTTGAATATACTCATCAATCGATTTTTCACCTTTTTGGAATTGCTTGAGCTGATGTTTGAGTTGTTGTATATGACCTCTGCTTGGTTTTGCATAGGTCGCAGCAACAAGCGCCCACATCTCCTTGGAGGATGCAGATTTGGTGACAACCGACTGAATGGAGGGAGTGAGAGTGCCCAGGAGGGCACTGAAAATGAATTTGTCCTGGCGCTTCCACTTGGTGTAGGCAGGATTGGGGACAGAGACACCATCGGTGGTGATGGTGAGAGGTGGCGGAAGAGTAGTTCCGTCGATGTGACTTGCGAGATCGTAGCCATCTAAGAGGGCATGAATCTGAACACTCCGCGTGATGTAGTTTGTGGAGGTTAGTTTGGTGATGTTTGACATATTGATATGAAGAAGAGATTGCGCCTGATCAGCAATGGTATCTGCAGCTGCAGCCATGGTGATAAACAGAAGAGAGGAATAGGAAGAAGAAGAGAAGAGAGGAAGGGGAGATGAGAGAAGAAAGGAGAGGGAGGCGGCGAAAAAAAATTTAGGGTATCGTTATATGCTCTGATACCATATTACGAATCAATGTATCTTATTATTCAAGGAGATTACAGAGTCTTATTTATACAGAGAGTTAGAAGGATCTAGACAAAGGTAATTACAGAAGGTTCCTTAATCAGAGATTGCTAATATTACGCCATAGAAGATAATGGAAACTGTATCATTGACTGTATCTCTAACACCGAAAGACCTTCTCAAGAGAAAGTAAAAGGTTTGCTTTTCCCATTATCAGTCACTGGTTTCGTCATTCCAAATCGTAAACATGCATAAAAATCATACTTTAACGAATGTACGTAAACTTTTTGCACCGTCCTCTTTTTACTTGCATTGTATTTTTTGTATTGATGGTTCAGGTAGCAGCAGCTCCTCAACGATTTCATATCATGAAAGAAGACGAAGAAGAGTTTTGACGATATCTAATGACTAAAAATTCCTTCTGCGTGCATAAAAAAAAATCTGTTACCGATAACAACTATATATTTTTTGTAGCTTACTGTTGTGTGGTGATTTAGATCCATATTGAAAGTTAACTCATTTCTTATTCTCTTAAGCACAAGAAACTGGTCAGCGTATACACAACTAAATCTGTTTGTATGCTTCTTTTTAATACTTCTAAACCATTGCGCTTTTCTTTTGATATTATTTCTTATCATCAATTATTTCTGCTAATTATTTTAAATCTGTTTTAGTTAAGCTAATATGATACAATTTTAAAGATTATATCTTGAGAGTAGATTTGATTTGAGGTACCTGTCATGCTTACTAATAGCCAAGAAAATCCTGCCACTTTTGCAACACCTTCATTTAAACGCAAAGAAGAAGTTGGAGATTCACTTGACCTGCAATCCAAATCAAAGAAGTTTTGCACACCGTCAAAATAAAATTGCAAAAGACTATGGAAGAGGAGTCTAAGAAGATTAAGTCGTTGGAGGAGGAGAATAAAAAGAAGGCCACAAAAATCAAGACAACTGAAGTGAGGACAAGGCATGTTTAGTTTAATTTAGAACAATGGTTTTATCTAATAGAACTACATTAGGATCATTTCATTTCTTTCATAAGAAAGTGTTTTCAATTTTTCAGGCTAAAGGTTTGTTTATTGGAAAGTCATATGAACATTTCAGAAAAGTATACCAATTTCTCACGTATGAAAGCAATAGAATCCAAAACCTAAGATCCAAATGTTCTACCTGTGGAGCTACTTCAGAATTCTCTTCTACGTTGTAAAGGCATTGATCCAAAAGCTTCAAAACTTACAAAATTTAATAATGAAACACTATATAAGACTTAATCAAGAAAACCAGAATAATTCTTTTAAATTATTGATTCAACAAAGTTGTTTTTTGGTTTAGAGAAGAGACAAGAACAAACAAGTATGATTTCTAGGTGATATCAAATAGCAAAGAAGCAAATAAGTAGAATATGGTTTCATCTTCTGTTTTTGAAATCTAAAAGGAACTAGGAATTCAAATTCAAAAGACTCACCGTCAAGAAAAATGAGTCGCTAAAATTTCTTATGTAAAGATGCGCTAATTCTGTAGGCATCAAGAATTCATATATAAGCACCATCATCATTTCAGTTTCGAATCCCATGAGAAGCTGCATTAATCGAAAGCAAAGTTCGAAGTTCGCGATTTGAGAAATTGATGAAGAAACTGGTGGTTCTGCTTTGTTCAATTATTCTAACGAAATTCTCTTATTGTCAAAGAGGGTAAGTGTGGTTCATTAGAGCTTAGATGGATCGTGTTAAAGAAGAGATTAAGCTTCTCCCTTTGATTTGCTAGATATGTTGTGCCTTTAGGACGAAAGAAGAAATATCAAGATGACGAACATGTAAATTAGGAATAGGGTTCAAGCTCAATTCTGGTGTCGAAGAAGAGATTAAGCTTCAAGCTTTAATTTTTGAGAATTGTGCTTACATTTTGATTTCTTTTATTGAAAAAGCGAGAAGAAGCTCCTAGGAAAGTTTTAGTTTTTAGATATGTTGAATTCTCCCACAGGCCACAACCTTGCCCTTTCTTATCTACGTGTGCCTCAAGTAAGTCCCACATCTTACTTTCTTGCTCTAGAAACAAGAAGGCCTACGCTAAATGTAATAATTTCAAACTAATAGAAAAAATAACTCATGCATGATCATTTAGATTTAGTTAAATATCTTTTGAACAAATGTATTTTGAAAATAGGAAACAACTTACATATAATATACATAAATAAATAACCAAATATCTATTAATTATTCAAAAAAATTAAAAAAAACACTACAATATTAATAATCGAGATAATATGCTTATTATTATATTAAAAATATTTATATGAATTGATAAAGACACAAAAATATTAAGCTAAAAATAATATAGAAAATGACATATCGATTTGATAATAATTTATTTTAAGTATGAAATGTTTTAAAGTTAACTTAATCCCACGCATTAGGCGTGGGTAATCCCCTAGTTTTAATGAAATCTCAAACGTAAGTATCTATATTAAGCATTTTTCATTGCAAATGCACTAAGTAATTAAACTTCTATTACTAATAAAATTTGACCCTATAGACATTAGATGATGTTCACATAGAATTGAAAAAAAAAAAATTTAATTGGTCCACATAAACACATTAAGATAGTTTCGTTTTTAACTATTATTATCATATTTTCTTAATACTTAATTCTACTTTTATTCATACTAAAGTGTTTAGAAAACTCTATAGGCATTAGAAGATGTCCATATAGGATTGAAAAAACTTAATTTAGTTGGTCCACATAAACACAATAGAATAATTTCCGTTTTAATTGTTATTATGATATTTTCTTAATACTTAATTCTATTTTTATTCATACCAAAGTGTTTAGAAAATAGAAAAAAAAAATTATAATGACATAAAAAGGATAACCACTTTAATTTCGTTTTTCTTAATATAAAATATATAATATTTAAAATTATATATTGTTAATATGTTACATGTTCATTTTATTATTATGAACAAATTATTTTACAAATTTGCAACTATCTATAGTTTTTGAAGCTATTGAATAACTGTAAATTGGACCAGCATGAATGCTCACTAGCTGAGTTCGAAGACATGCCAAAACAATATATAACCGAGCTACAATAAATTGACTATATCTAATGTTCATGGAGAAGACAAAATATAAGATCTTATGATTATCATTTAAGTCTTTATCTAAAGAAACTAATACTCCCTCCGTTTTATATTAGTTTTTATTTTGAAAAAAAATGTATTTGTAATGATGTTGATGTATTAAACTCAAAACACATCTAGATATATCCAGATACATTGCAGTTATATTATCTCAAAACGACAACTAATATGAAACGAAATGAGTATTAGTTTCTTTAGATAAAGACTTAATGGCAAAGATAATCAAATAAATTAAATAACCAACAATTATCAATAGATCCAATATTCAAATAGAACTCAAAATAAAATAAAATGATATATGACAATTGAGTTTAGATAATATCTCAAAGAAATCTGATTGATAAAAACTGCAGTCAATTAAGTGTAAATAGTAGATGTTTGGAAATTATTCAAAATATTTGGAGAGTGTAATTAGTAGATGTTTGGAATTTATTCAAAATACTTGGGACTAAGAGGATTTAATATGAATGGTGATCTTCAGTGACATGCAATCTCTAAAATTTTGAAACAAAATGCTTGACAATGTGCATATAATTAAAGAAGATGAGAGGTAAGGTGATAATAGGGATGTAGGGATTTTGACGAAATTGGGTTTTAATCTCTAAAATTTTGAAACAAAATGCTTGACAATGTGCATATAATTAAAGAAGATGAGAGGTAAGGTGATAATAGGGATGTAGGGATTTTAAAAATACATTAGCAAAATAGTCATATTTTTTAATCTTCTTCTTTGCATTTCAAAGACGAAGATACTAAATTTCAGATATCAAGTGATGATTAAATTCAAAATGTGACAAAACCAAATTCATAAACCAAAAATTGAAGATTTGGTTATGTAAACTCAATTAAAAACAATAGTACAATAAATTTAGGGATTAATGTAACTTCTCCAATGATCAGACCTCTATACTTTACGAAAAAATGTGAGAAATGTTTGTAATATGTTTTTAATCAAAATTTATCATAAGAAAATTCCTTTTATTATTGTGACTAATTATACAAGAATTAAAATGATCCGTTAAAACTAAAAATTTTAAGAAATTAAAAAAAAATTGTAAAGCATTTGTATTAATGAACTTTTTAAAGAATTGAAAATTAGAAAATTCATAATTTGTTTTTTTAAAACATAAAAACGGAACCCGCGCATAGCGCAGGTAAAATACCTAGTATGTAATAATATATGTGGTTCTCAAAACTTGAGATACCATGCAAGAGTATCTCAAATGAGATACAACATAACATTTTCTAAAAATCTAGTGAAAGTATAAATATATTTAGAAAAGGAGGAAATAATGGAGAACGTATTCTAAAAAGGATATTTTAATTAGTAACAAACACAACTTTTGAGTGTTTGTAAAGAAATCTTACGATACCATTATAAATACCATAAACGTAAATATTTCCACTTTTCCCTAGTCAATGTTACTTAATGAGATAATGTCAAATTTCCAAATTTATCTGATTTATTCATAAAAAAATGTAAACTTTAGCATCAACAACACATATAAATTAAAATCTGTATGCTGTGAGAAGAAGACGAAAAGATAACTTATAGAGAGATTAAAGGCCGGTGAGGTAAAGAAGAAGAAGATGAACCCTGCTTATATTGCAACTATCGTCATTGTGCCGGTCATCATCATTCTGGGCATTGTGGCGTGGTTGTGCTCCGGACGACTTATCAGATGGTGTGTGCCTGATGATTCTAATGTGTAACCATTAGTTTCCTCTTACCTAT